AACCTAGGTTATCCAAGTGAGATGAGACTTTGGAATGTTGCTTTCAAAGGAAAAGTGAACAATTTTTAAATAGTAAGAACTGAAGTGGGGAGACGACTTTTAAATCCTGCTGATTTTAAAAGGCAGTTAAACAATAAAATTATTGTCACTGGAATCCTGAAATACTGTGTTCTGAATGTCGCACTTTAAACCTTATTTTTTTATTAGTATCTGTGCTATTAAAACAAACAAACAAACAAAAAACAAACAAAAAGGCTTACAGGTAAATCAGGACTTCACTCTCTGTGTTTCGCTTAGGGATCCTTACATAACATATATTCTCAACTGCAGTGTTGCAACAGTGTACAGTATATGTTTTTATTTTGGCTATAATCATTATTTCTCCTATAAGCGTCAAGCAAATCCTTATTGGAAGAGATGGTGATCTAAACAATTACAGATGCATAGTAATTCCACTGAAGTCGAGCTAAGATAAACTTGTGAACATGTAATGTGTTTTAAGACTGCTTTTGGGGTCTTATTTTTCACTTTTCCCAACCATCTCCTTGTTGTTGGCTAATCTGGGTCATTTCTATGCATAAGAATTGGGTTGTATTGTATGGCATGGATTCAGTGGAATGCATTTAACATCCCAGAAGGTAATTCAGTGGGGTAAAGCAGTACTCACAAATGTAATTGTACATTTTTCCATAAATACGTTTACATGTTTTGAAAACATACACTAAGGATACATCAGCATATATTGAAATAACCATATTGCCATTATTTTCATTGGTTGTGCTTGTTTTCCCAATGCAGGTATTACGATCCTGGGACTGTACAGAATAGGTGGTGTAAACTCTAAGGTGCAAAAGCTGATGAATACCATATTTTGTAAGTATCTGAAGTGAACTGTTGTCACTGTGAAGCCTGTGTGTGGTGGTCCCTTTTGCCTTAACTGCTGTGCTCAGAAGAGTGTTCAATTATTTACACTTTTGTACGTGCACTTACTGCCCTAAATTGAGTTTGCAGTCTTAAAATGAGTGACCCACCTGACTGGTTTCTCGTGTGCATTAGTACTCAGTTTCTGTATGCAGGATATACAGGAGCAAATACTGATAAAATGCATTTCTTCTTTTAACTTTGAAGTTCTATATTGGTATCTATTTGGCATATTCCAAAAGTGTTCCAAAACTTACTACTGTAACACAGCATAACTCAAGTTAGCAGTTGTTCTAGTGACTTTTCATGCTAATTTGGCTTTCTTTTGCCTCTGTTTGAATGTCTAAGGCAAATACACTAGTATTTCTCTGACTTGGGCTTCCTGTACGCTACAGTGCATATAGTTAATGTTTACAGGTACTATATAGGAGTGCTAAATTAATTTTTATTAATACTTCGGCAGAGATTACAGGTTTCAAATGGATCACATTCGTTGATTGATTGATTAATCTTGCTAATAAGTAATCACTTGAGCTAAATGACCAACCTGTTAGCTTCTGTTTTGCTGCTTTTCTAGTTAGTGTGTTAGTCAAACTGTAACACAGTCATAATTCAAATTTCCATCAGCCCCTAAATCTCCTCCTGATATGGATATTGATATGGAACTTTGGGACAATAAAACAATAACAAGCGGACTAAAAAACTACCTCAGGTAAGTATGATGCTACACAAATCTCAGTATTCGTTTTCTGGCCTATTAATCTCTCGCTTGTTAATACTGTATTATGTTTCCTGTATGCATTAGCATGGTTATATTTTAGTATATTATTATCTTGCCTAATCTCCCTGTGATTATCTGTAATAATAAATCTAAAATTTGTCACACACTTTCTGCCTTATGAAGATAGTCATGCCTTATATATCTAGCAGCCTAATTTTGCCAGAATTTAATTAATTGTGTGTTTTTATTTAAAATCTTTTACGTTAACCACAAAGCATGATGTGCTCAGTCAGTCTTTTCTGAATCCCTTAAGGTGTGTATCATGAGGTTTCATGGCATTATTGTTGGAGCAGAATAATAATTCGTGCAAAACCATCAGTTTTGATCTAGGCTGTTCCTGTGTTCACAAACGCAGTATGTCTCCCACACTATCATTTTCTCTGAAAATTTATGCTAATAAGAAGCAGAATTTTCAAGAATTATGGTACTTCCAAGATAACTCTTTTAGGGCTCTTAATATATACCATTAAAAGAAACGTAATAAAAAGCATCAAATCCTGATGGTAGCTGTTCTGTGCCTTCTAAAAATCTAGATTTCCTAAACCAGTCACCTGGCAAAGGGCAGCATCAGAATTCCCTATTCACTCTGGAAAATATGCCTAGGATTTATTGTGCAATGCTCATGTGAACTTCATTGAAAAGACTAATTTTGGTGGAATAAAATCATAATACATCTTCAGAAGCACAAGTCATTGTGAAATTAGAATGTGAGCTAGCAGAAGCTGTGTGTTTGTGTCTCTAAGGCAATTCACAGTCTGCCTTTTAGAGGGTGACTCTTCTAGGATCTCTCAGATCAGAACTTCAGTCCCAAATTTCATCATGTTTTTGCCTTTCTTTGGCAAAAGATTGCTTCTTTTGCCAGGACAAGGGGTAATGGGCTTAAATTGAAAGTGGGGAGATTTAGATTGGGCATCAGGAAGAAATTCTTCCCGGAGAGGGTGGTGAGGCACTGGGACAGGTTGCCCAGAGAAGCTGTGGATGCCCCATCCCTGGAAGTGTTCAAGGCCAGGCTGGACGAGGCTTGGAGCAACCTCGTCTAGTGGAAGGTGTCCCTGCCCATGGCAGGGAGGTTGGAACTAGGTAATCTTTAAGGTCACTTCCAACCCAAACTATTCTATGATTCTATGATTCTATGATTTTATGATTCTGCAGCTGTATTTATTCAGTTCTACAGTATGGAAGCCAGAGAACAGTAAGTTTCTCTGCTGAAATCAGTGCCAATAGTGTTTCCCCTATTAACTTAAATGTGACACCAGCATCAACTCAAATTGATTCTCAGACTCTGTCGATGACTGAGTTGTACAGTACTTGCAGTCAGTCATCCCTGAACTGGGGGTCCTACACCATGCTAATACACATTTTGCAGATGTTGAGGGCTATCATAATCACTAATAAAACTTTAAAAATATTTTAAGTAATGCATTTTTTTGAATTTTCTCTTTAATATTTTTCACAACCAGGTGTCTTTCAGAACCACTGATGACTTTCAAGCTGCACAAAGATTTCATTGTTGCTGTTAGTAAGTAAAGTAATAAATACATTTTGATGAAAGTAATAATGTTTCTAACCCTTAATCTCCTTCGTTACTATCCTTATTTTTCTCTTCGGCCTGTTACTAAGTGATCCAGCCATGGATCTGAGTTCTTCATTGTCACTAAAGCCCTCAAAGCAGGGAAGTCACGCTAGATGAAGCTGTTCAGTGGTTTGTTCTGGTCTTTTATAGGTGCTGTGTAACTGCCTTCTGCATGAGATTTTGAACCTTGATTTATATGTTTGTTTGTTTTATACAGGCTGATAATTCTTTTATAGCATTCATCCCTCTCATCCAGGGCTCTTTAGTTTCCCAAATTGCCTTGAGAAATTGGAGGGAGTGATAATTATCTCCTTTTCACAAATGGAGTAATTAGATACAGACACAGTAAGATTGTTTATCTTAGGACTCCAGTTGAGAATTTGAACTAGTTTCCCCATTTCCTATTGCCTTGATAAGAAGAAAAGACTTGAGAATTTTAGGTATTTTAAATATCAAGGTAAAATCGCAATTCCGTGAAGTGGCACATCGTGTCAAAATTGCTACAAATTTCATTGATTCCAATATTGCTGGTAACTGCTTTTCACGAGTTACTTGAAACACAGATCTCAGAATATAATAAATATAATCAAATTGTCCTCATAATTTTAAAGGCTAATTGTGGCTTGCTCCTTGTAATACGTGTGTGTATTAGCATACAGTCTTCGGTTCTGTTTATAGTCGCATCTCAGCACATTTTCTAATTTACCCACCATATTTATTTTCTGGTTAATAGAGTCAGACGATCAGAACTACAGAGTTGAGGCAGTGCACGCACTTGTGCATAAGTTACCAGAGAAGAACAGAGAGATGCTGGACATCCTTATCAAGCACTTGGTCAAGTAATTCTGATTTTTCTCTTTGGTATTACTGTAAGATGTGATTATTTCTGCTTTAAATTTGTCGGTGTCGCTTAATCCATTCCCTGTGTTGAAACAATGCCGCTTGAAATTACATTTAATTTCTAAAATGCTGTTCTCAATGTAGGATGCTACTGTAGAAACAAAATTAAAAATAACACCATAAAGTGTCACCAAGATGACCAGCTATGTTTAGAAAATAAATCCACTCCATGTTTTTGTTCACCTGTATACTTACTTCAGGTACTTGCTCTGAATTTAAGAAACACATAAAACTATGCTAAGGTTGATAGAAAACACTGGTTTGAATCTGACTTGGGGTCCCACACTTATTCAGAAATGGAGAATAGGAGTTGACTAATGTCATAATAGTTGTCTTTCATGTTTGATCTAATTTTTCTAACAGCTCTGAAGTGTAATATCATTTAAAAACACAGATTGGAAGTATTATTATTATTTATGTTTTTGATATGTCCAAACCCACTTTTGAACCTCCCTTGTTTCATCAGCCTATCTGAGTATTAATTAAATGGCAGATGGAAAAGATTTTGCATTGCTTTGAACTGATGACCTTCTTTCTTCACTGAATTACACTTTGCATGTGCTGTGAGACAAAAAAGACAAGTTTCTATTCTTATGTCTCTCTATATCACTAGCTATGATTTCATACCATTATCACATGACAATTTGTCCTGTTTCTGCATCAAACGTCCTTCACATAAGTTTTGCTAAATCTTTGGTTGGTTTCCACTGGTATTAGCTGAATACTTTTTAATATGTATTATTCTTTCTGATTTAGGATGCTGTATACTTTTTAGTTCAGTTATTGATGATATGGAAATGTGAATACTGAAACAGCAGTGTTCAAATGAGGTCCACATGACTGAGATATGTGGAAGACCTAAGAGAGGAATCCATATTGTTTTCATTCAGTTCATAACATCCCAGCTATTTTGCTTTTTTGATCACAGCTTGAGCTACAGCCTGCAGTGAGCTGTCTACAGTAGAGTCAAATGCAGTTATGCTTCCTCTTATAGACATGAGAACTGTGAAAATGTCTTTGATAGGAAATTACTTAGCCCGAAGAAATTATTTTTAGCCCTTTATGTCCTTCGCCCCTGGAGAACTAACATGACAGTGAGCTGCTGTTGTAAACCCTTCCATTGCAAAACCTGTTTAGTCAGACCTTGCATCTTGTTAGACAGGGCGTAACCCAGAGAACCAGGTGAAAGTAAGTTTCAGAATTTTCCTTTCAGATTTTTTAATGTGCTAAAAAATACAGTATCTACTGCTTTCTATCCCTCTAAAAAGTTAAAACTTTAATGTTAAACTTAATTTAAAGTTAAAAATTTAATGAGGGATTAATGATTTATAAAAGCTACTAGACTGGAAACCATGAAATTAGAAATGTGTATATATAGGATCTAACTTATTTCTAGGCAGAATTAGTTACAGGCAAGCATTTCTTTCTTGACCTCTTTTCCTGGCCTCTTTATTCTCAATATGACCTCAGATGCATTTCCAAAGACAAGCGTGCCTGCAGTACTCCTTTCTTTAATTGTTCTCTTTAACTCTTGCCTATCACATTTTGATGCAATTTTCATTTCTGCTAAATTAAATTTTATGGTTTTATACTGAAAACTTTCAGTTCTTTTCTTTCCAACGTTCAATTTGACCCTCTCATGTAATTTGCCAGCTGTTGTTTATGCTAGCAATTCTAATGAGACTGAATTAAAAATTAGTCTCTTGAGTGTATTAGTTCTTCCTTCCTCATCTTTTTCCTACCACTGTGTAGAGATTTTTCAAGGAACAAATGGCAGATAAAGTGCCTAATTTTATGTAAATGGGAAAATATGATAAAAACCCCAACCTCCTGTTGCTTCATTCTTTTGTTTAAAATGCAGTTTTAGAATGTGCATCGTTCCCCTATAATTCTTTTAGCTTTTATTCTTTAGGTGAAAATACTCTACTTTTAACTATGGGTTATGAAATAAGGGTAATATTATTATTCTTTGGTTTAGGTCTCAAGATCTTTACATCCCTGCCTACCTTGATTTTTGTGCCACTGCAAAATTAAATATGATCTAAATGTTGTGGGATGTAGATCATACTAAAACCAACCAACCAACCAAACCCAGCAAATCCTGAAAAGCACCCTGCAGAGAGGTGATACTGTATGAGTATATACTCAACAGCAGCTAGGCTGACACAGGAAGTTTGGTGTTATTTTTAGATAGGTAACTCATTTTTTGGTTTTAAGCCTTCCCAGTTGTATTACCTGTCTACTTTAAACAATAAATCGTTCTTTGGTATGATTTAATAAGACCATACTTTTCTAAGGTAGATAATCAGGAGTCTGCAATCTGGCAGTATCAAAAATTTCCTGGTGATATATCAAAGAGAGATTTTTTTGAGGAGAAGGCAACTACACCTTAACAAATGACTAGCAGCTACCTGAAGTGCGTGATTACCTTGGCCTGTATCTGTTCAGTAACCCAGCAACAGCAGGACTAGGTCAGGGGAAATTGGTTATCAAAATGATCCATTTACAGGCCTGGGGTTTTTTTTTTTTCTCTTTTGCAAGAAATTGGACCTTTGAAATGCTTTGTAGAGAGCCCTTTCTGGTTACAATGTTGTTAAATCCACAATTCCTTTTATTAAGCAAGCTACCAAATTTGTAACCAAGGAAACCCAAACAACAGGACAAACACTACTTTCTGTCTTATCCTATAAGACTATAGTGTTTGAGACCTTAATAGTTACCGTGTAGCACAAAGCAAAGTAACATTGCAAGGAGTTACTTTTTTTAGGTTTTTTGAACAAAACTAGAGCTGAGTAATTAAAAATTACATTTTCATTAAAATACTAGTGGGTTTCCCAAACACTCCTTAGTCACTTAGTCCTTAGACAACACAAGCATAAGATCTGTTACAGAGAAAATTAGATTAAGATAATTGGCTAAAAATGTGCTATAACAACACAGTCATTTTCATGATACAGCTTTAAATAATGATCTCTCCCATTGTGTCTGTCTGAAGTAAAATTTTGGAAAGCTTTTTTGGCATAACTTAATGAAGCAACACAGGAAACATCTGAGATAGACATCTATTTTCCTGTCATTTATAACCCTGTTGTCTCTCATACAAATCCCTTTCCCGTATTTCTCCTGCATCTCGATGTAAATGGGATGTTAAAACATTCCTGTTCCAAATAGGAGGGGAGTATTACTTCATTATAGAAGTAATTGTACAGTCTCTCGCCTTTATACCAAGATAATTGTACTCTTCTACTCATTCTGTATATCATTAGTGCCTACTCAACAGTGAGACTGAGAGAAAGGGTAGTGTGTGAGTCCAGATGTGGGTTTGACCCTGATCCTAACAAAATCCCCCATTACCCTTAGGAAAATCTCATTCTTTTTGTCACTGCCCTTTTAATCTTTGTAAGGGGATAGTACTTCTGTCATTTGCTAACGTCTCTGACCTCAGATAGATCATTTTTCTAGTGTCTGTATAACATTTTAACAAGAGATCAAGCTGTCTGAGATTTTTATTGGAAGAAAAATGTAGCAGATGTCTCCATAAACCTTATTAATGAAGGCTGTCTGAGAAAAGCAGAAGATAAAGTTTGCTCCTACCTACTAGTCTTCCAGTATTAAATGGACTTTACTATTTCTTAATTTTAAAAATTACAAGGGTTGTTTTAGCTATGTAGGAAGTGGCAAAAAAGTTCAGTTTGACAATGGTGGCAAATAGCAAGGAAAAAGAGGAGTAAAATATGAACAGGTGCCTCAATAACTGATTGTATTTGGTAGCAGATTCAGTAGAATTAAGCATTAAGGCAATTATCAAATCTATGCCTGGCATGATATTTCTCAGACATGAGGCAGTAGGGCAGCTATGACTGGGGAATCACTGGCAGTTATTTCAAAGGATTTATGATGATACAGTTTTTATTTGGCAAATCTTATTCGTAAGGAGAGAAAAGGGTTATTGATGATTACTGATTGATGGTTCTCATTTTACTATCTGATAAATTATTGGAAAAACTAAGTTTCTAAATTCTACCTTATGAAGGAAAATGACAGGAGAGGCACAGTAAGCGGTAACAGAATGCATGGCAGTAAAAGGTTAATATCTTTTAAAGCCAGAGGATGTCATTATGATCTAGTGTTATGTGTACCACAGCAACAATGATTTCACTGACTCCGTTGATCCCGTATTTTCAATGCATTAATAAAAAGGTCCTATTGCAATGTGTTTTCAGTAACTATATTTCTTTCCTTTACATGAAAGCTAAGGCACATGGTTACATCCGTTACATCATAGTATTTTTAGTCAATCCAACATCAAATATTTAAGTTCCTGTATAATCCTTGGAGGGAGATAGGTACCTACTCTAAGACTCCTAAACTTTAGATGGCCTGAATCTTGCTGTGGAGTGACCTTCCAAGATAGTTGCTCTTCCCTGTCAGTTGTATCAGGAACTAAATGCATATTCTAGGAAGACGTGCTTATTATCCATTAAGCTATTGCAGGATGGGAGCCTTAATGGAAATACAGTAGTGGTACTACACTGCATTTTGACTGTAGTAAAAAGGAAAGTCTAACAAATGTTTTTAAAGGTGGGGTATGAACTTGTGATCCTGTTGAAGAAACAGTTTTGACAGTTTTTTCCTGCTGGTATTGTAATTTAGCACAACTATTCAATTGCATGTTGTTTTTCTTCATTTAAAGGGTATCATTACACAGTCAGCAAAATCTAATGACTGTATCCAACCTTGGTGTTATCTTTGGACCAACTCTGATGAGAGCCCAAGAAGAAACCGTGGCTGCTATGATGAACATTAAGTTTCAGAATATCGTCGTTGAAATTCTGATTGAGCATTATGAAAAGGTAGAATGACATTATCAGACTGTTTGTCATAAAGTGGAACTAAGATCTCATTTTCATTACCATCCTTAAGTTCTTAAGAATAAGAAAACTAGCATTTTTAGGTCATTGATAGAAAGAATACCTTCTTCCCACCCCATGCTATGCATCTGTGTTCCTAGCAAGTCTTTTGTGGCTGTGCAAGGTACAGATCCAAGGCATAATCTCCCATGCTTTGAAGGAGTTGCTCTGAATCTTCAGCTGCTTTTTTATATCTAGAATATCTGTATCTATATTCTTGTATCTGGTCCTCCTTATATCTAGAAACAGAATGAGAAGGTCATAATTTTGCTCCCAGCTCCTCCCAGCAGCTTCAATGTGGATCCCAAGTGCAATCCATCAGTTCTGTGTGCTGTGTCATTTTTCATATGGATAGGTACTAGAACAAAGGTAAAAAAAAAATCAAAAAATAACTTCTCTTAGATGAGGTTTCATTCCTACTTACAGGTTTTAGGCCCGTCATGTCTTTGTGATTTCACAGTTCTTGAATGCCCTAGAACATACAAACTAGGTACTTCTTTTGCTTTGAAGGAAGGCACATCTGTGACTGCCTGGATTGTTTTGTTTTCCCCAAAGTGACCAGTGACAGCAAAGGTCCATCTCAGTCTCTTTCCTGGAACATCAGATATGAACTGTTTCAGGACTTGAGAAGGAAAATCCATGAAATCTTTGACACTTACTTTCAGTCACTACCATTGCAGGTGTCTGCTTCACTGAAAAGCTTCCTCCGATTTTATTTTGTTTGAAACTATTTGATTTCAGAACTCAGCAGAACAGTCAAGACTTCCTTTACTTGGTCATCAAAAGAATTTTTATTTTTGACATCCTCTGTTGTTATATATCATCTTCTTTGATGACTAGCAAAACAAATGGAAGAGACTTGGGTTTCTTCAGTTTCACGTGACTTAGCTAAGGGGCAGTTCCTGGTCAATGCCAGGATCCCTTGCACAGGTAAGTGCTGTCAGTTAGTGCTGACAGTACTGCTTGGTGTCATCAGTTACACTTCACAGGGGCTCCTCAAAATTGGTATGATACAGTTAGCCTCCTTGCTTGTAACCCCTAATCATATGTTATATATTTCCAACACTGAATTTCCCCTCCAGAAGATTATAAGCTTATTCAGTACAAAGACCATGGCTGCACAACCACAATCACCCTTGCTCTATTTCTCTGTCTACAGACATGTTTTTATATATTGGTGTGCTACTCACTAATCCCTAATACAGTAGTAATGTACTTCAGGAGCATCGCAAGACATCCATTGAAGTATTTTCTATCAAAGAAGTATATTTGCTTTCCTCCACTTCTGTGAGTGGCATGGAGATGTCTTTTCATTGTTCACTTCATCCTGTTCTGGAAGTGCCCTTTTGATAGGGGATCCAGAAATCCTTGCAGAGGTGTACTTTGGAGTTGCATGGGATTTAACCTACTTGGCCCCTCTAGACTATGGAGGTTGAACACTTCTGATTCCTTTAGTAGCTTAACTGAATAGGTAGTCTTTGTCTGTAAAACCTCTTCTACATTCCACAGAACTAATTCCACTTACTTCCACAGAATGCCAGGTGAGATACTCAGTAGAGCTTAATGTCTACGCTAGGACAAATAAGTGAGAAAAGACATCTGGAAGGAGAAGTCACAAATCTTTTGGTTATATTTTTTGCTTTGATCATCCTCCAAGGCAACTATAATTTTTACTAGAAGTACCCCAGAGGGCTTTTAGAGTCTTTCAAGACCTCTACTGCATGTGTGTTGGATAAAAGATTAAAAATCAGGATAGAGATAAGGAGATGCTCTGAACATAAAGATGCTCCTCATCAAACTTGACGTGTTGGCAAAATTGTTTTCTGAAATACAAACTGGATTATAGTAAGTTATGTAGCAAATTTCTGTGACATACAGAAGCTTTCACAGAACCACAGAGAACAAATTCATTTTTTTCATAATCTTTTAAAAAAGCATTGTGTCTTGGGCAGGAGTTAGTTGTAAGCATGCGTTGTATGTTTCACAGTTTAGACTGTTACGCACTTCTTAACAAGGGCCAGAAAATAGAACTTTAAAAAAGTATTTTATATAATTAGTATAAATGTTAAGTACAGCTCAGTATTATGGTTCTTGGATTCTAAAATGAGGTCAGAGCAAATCTTATATTCCATGAATTTACTCTTTTGTAATTTTTCACTCTTATTGCATTAATTTCAGGTGCAGTGGTGAGGAAAACAAATGGATTAATAATGGAAGTGTAAGACTACCTCTATTGCTTATGTCAATTATTTTCCCTTTTTTTTTTTTAAATCATGCAGATATTTCACACTGCACCAGACCCCAATATTCCTCTCCCTCAACCTCAGTCTCGATCAGGTTCAAGAAGGACAAGAGCAATTTGTCTCTCCACAGGTTCACGTAAACCCAAAGGAAGATATACACCATGTCTGGCAGATCCTGACAGTAAGTTTGTCCTTCTTGGCTCATTATCTTCCTCTTTATGTCTTGTCTTTTAACTTCCCTGAATAAAATCCAATAGGTATTGTATTCCAGTAATTACAAGCATGACAGGTCGGGTTTTGTCAGCTTTTTAACCTTGGTGAGTCACAGCCACACTGTTGAATGACTGCATCCCTTGTTTCTCTCAGATGGGGAAGGATGTTTGGTTTTAGGCAAGTCTTGTATTGAATACAATGATCAAAAATCTTTTATAGTAGACCTTATATTCTAATCTAAATGCAGACTGCTTTGAAACTGAGGAGCTCATTATATGAAGTTCACCTCATTTGCTTGAAAGATGATTGCTAAGGTTGGGAAACTGTAAATAGAATCTTCCCTCTCCTCCTGTAATAAATGTAATTTAGTCAAGGTCAGGAGATGAAAACCGTTTTTCACATGCATGAAACTGTGGTCATTGGTTCAAAGTCAGCCACTGCCTAGGTTTGCCAAAACCACCGAAACTTTCTTAGTTTTTTGGGGATAGAAACATATTCTGATATTTTGGGAAGAAACAGTATACTTATCATATGGCTTACTGTTTACCTGCAGGGAGTTATATGTGTAATTAATTGCTTCTTAGAATGCTTATTCATTTTCATGTAATTATGGCTATTAAAAAGTTTCACTTCATTCATGCTCATCTAGCATGCCATCACCTGTTTACTTGCTGTACCATTGCGAAGTATTGAAACCAGCAAAGATTGTTAGCAGTTCCACTACTTCAGCAAAATTTCAAAAGAAATTGTGTCCCTTGGTTCCTCAAGGAGATTTACTTGAAGCTGGTACAGTAAATTAACCTGTAGTTAAGATGCATCTTAAGATGAGGATCTGTAGATTCTTACATCTGTAAGGTTGGGAATGTATCCACAGCATCTCTGGCACAGGTGCTGCATTTTCCATAGGTTTGTATTAGGATTCCTGTCAGTGAGAGTTTAAATGCAATAGCTGCCTACACATGGATTGCCAGTGTGAATGACACAGTAAGAAGTTACAGAGGAACCATCAGTTACGTTCACCATACGAGAAATTGGGCGAGTTCAGCTGGTTTTTGCTGCATAACTGCCATGAATGGATGCCAGCATAAAAAGAGGACTTTTCTGTGCAAGTATTGTGGAGTGTTTGCAAACTCACACTTCTTCACTCAGATGCAGGTCTTGTGCTGGCAGCTGGACTGAAAGCGGGTCTGACCCAGGAGCTCTCTGCTCCTGCTTTGCTCAAGCTCAGCACCTGCTGCACGAGTTCCAGTTAAGATCTCACTTGTGCCTGGAAGGCTGAGGCAGAAGCAGAGGTATTCTCCTTGCCAATTATCTCTAGGTGTGGCCAGAGACAGGCAAGAGAGCACCTTGGCTTCTGGCAACAGCAAATACAGAAGTAGCAGATAGTTTTAAGTCATCATTCAAATGAAGCATGGACACTTAACGATACTGCAAGAAATTAAGGAATTTTATGTGGCATGAAAAAATGAGATCAAATGGCAGGGAATGGTAGAAAATTATAGGAAATTGACAAATTTAGGCTTTATCCAATCTTGTGATTTTCAAGGGGTGAATGGTTTGTAAAGGGGCAAGATGGGGGACAGTTTAATCTGGAAGGCCAGAAGTGGGCAGAATATTTCAGATTATTGTACTAGTAACACTACTGTTGTCAGACCCAGTATACAAGGTACTGGTATTTGTGACCTTATCTGTAGTATTGGTGGTTACTTGTTGCCAAGGATATTGAAATGGGTAGAGGCAAAAGCAGCTGAATCATGTTGGTATCTTGTAATTACTGTGTGGTTGAACAATATATATTCTCTGCTTCTTGTGACATTTGTTAATTATACCTCCTAACTTTGGGGAACAATTCCTACTAGAAACCAATGTGTGACTCACTAGGCTGAATCCAGTCTTCAGGATGATTCAGCCCTCGCTGTATTATAGGCCAGTCCTTCCTCAGTTCTGATGAGTGTTCCTGCCTTTATATCATCTGATAATTTCATTAGCATATTCCCACATTTTGTTGCAAAAGATTATTGGAAATAGATTCAGTACAAATATTGTTGTGTAGGTAGATAAATTTCTGTAGTGTCAGTCTAATTAAAGAAATTCATCAAATGTTCAAGTTACAAGGAATAAGTTGTCCTTCTGCAGGATAGATATTTTATGATAGGTATGACAGTTCAGAAAATAGGATATCTATAGATAGACTTAGGGACTAGTCTTGTACTACAGAGATCTTCAGCAGCTTGGTAACTGAAGTAAAATTTAATTCTTGTGCCTACAGGCAATACAACTATGCATTTAAGAACATAAATGTGACAAGTATCACATTTGCCTTATCATGGAAATCCAGCACTGCTGAATTTCCTAAGGATATTTACATTGCAAACAGTTCTTTGAAAATGCAAACTTTTGTGTGAAATAGTTTAGCCTGTAGTCCATTATATTCATCAGCTCATAAGAGTTATCCACAAAAAGCAGCTATTCCAGGTTAAAGGTAGGAATTTGTGTGCAACTCAGAGTAACTAAATAGATATTTTGTCTTAAGAATCAGAATGCCTCTGAAACCACATTTATAAAAGATAAATGAATTTGATGACAGGTAATGTACAATGGGCCAAAGGTGACATGAGAGAAATGCACATGATTAGAAAATGTAATTATTTTTTTGGTTTCTCTGTTTCCCCACTTCCCCCACTCCTCCCTAGGTGACTCGTACAGCAGTAGCCCAGACAGCACTCCCATGGGCAGCATTGAGTCTCTCTCTTCTCACTCCTCCGAGCAGAACAGCACTTCTAAATGCGCGCCCTCGCAGCCCAGGGAGAAATCCGGAGGGATTCCATGGATTGCCTCTCCTCCTTCTTCTAATGGCCAGAAGAGTTCAGGTCTCTGGACTACAAGTCCAGAATCCTCATCAAAGGAAGATGCAACCAAGACAGATGTGGAGTCAGACTGCCAAAGTGTAGCTTCTGTCACTGGACCAGAGAATGCGTCTCCACCAACGGACCTGACCAAAAAGAGTTCTTACAGTCTCTCTGGGCTGAAAAGGTCTTCAGCATCTTCTCTCAGATCAATTCCATCAGCTGAAGGTAATATCCAAGGTCTTTTAGGACATCAGTGTTTACTCTGACAAGAGCTGAACCCAAAAGCTGATTATATCCATTAAACTTTTATGTTTATTTATTAATTTCTGTGACATGTGCTTTCAAACTGCTTCTGACATACTTCCATTGTTTGTTCCGTGTGCAGTTCACACAGCTTTAAAGCTATCTGTTTCTCAGAACTTAAGAGTACACTATCCTGCTGCACCTCACCTGGACCACTGAAGGAGTTTGCTGGTTTACAAGAGATGGTAGCTACGGTTTATCACTGTGTCAAAGAAATGAGTTGTTGCAACATGACTGATACTGGTTAAAGCTAGAATTTAAATTTAAAAAACACTAGGCTTCATACCTAATAAGTAGCAGTTTTGTCGCTCCTTGTCATTGTGCTTGCTTTATTTTTTTTTTTCTCTGACAACTGCATCTGTTCAAGTGACTGAAAGTGGAGATTGAAAGAAAGGTGGGAGTGTTTTGGGGGTTTTTTTGTTTGTTTGGTTTGTTTGTTTTTTTCTTCCCCCCCCCAGTTACAGATTTTACAGTCAATGCCTTTAGCTAACATAGGACTGCACAGATGGGGTAAAAAGGTAATACCTGGTATGAAACATATGTCTGAAACACTGCTGATGGAATGGCTCTTCATTCTGCCCTACTTGCGTGGTTTGTTATCCCATACTGCAAGCAGATTAGCTTGAACACAAGATTATGGCTGAGTGGTCCTCTGTATGGACATGATGTGCAAGAACAACCACAAGTATGCAAACCCAACTTTAGGAATCCAGTTTCAGTGCCCAGTCTTTCTTTTGAGTCAAAGAAGGATGCTGCCTTGAAGAACAACCTTACAGCACCTTAGTTGAGCCTGTGTTCCAAATAAGCCTGTAGACAAGACTCTTTGAATCTTAAAAACATAGCTTCTTAATGTAGACAGTTCTGCTAAATGCTGTGAGCTAGAGTGCCTGTGAACCTCTGTGAGTTTCAGAGGTGATACTGCACTATATTGACAGCTGTGTGGAAATCACTTGAGAAGAAACACCTTCTTGAAATCAGTATATCTGATATGGTTTGGATCATGAAGATTAACAGCCGTCACTGCAACAATGAGCTCCAGTGGTCTGAGTGCAAGTGTTGAGTTTGCCACTGAGCAGTAGTATAAGTAATACAAGTACAGGCAGGGTAAATATGTGGTTATTTGCAAAGAACTGATAGTTTAAGAAAGTTCTCTCCCCTCTGACCCCCATGGAGTGTACAAGCTTTTTGTCTAAGACTTTCAGATACGAATTAGTGTTATATTTACAGAATTAATAATGTAGAATAATGATTGACAATTATTTATAATTATAGAACCATAAAATCACAGAATGGTTTGGGTTGGAAGGGACCTTAAAGATCATCTAGTTCCACCCCCCCTGCCATGGGCAGGGACACCTTCCACTAGACGAGGTTGCTCCAAGCCTCATCCAGCCTGGCCTTGAACACTTCCAGGGATGGGGCATCCACGGCTTCTCTGGGCAACCTGTTCCAGTGCTTCGCCACCCTCCCTGTAAAGAATTTTTTCCTGATATCCAATCTAAATCTACCCACTTACAACTTAAAGGTATTACCCCTTGTCCTACATAGGTATTGTTCTTATATTTTGGGATCTCTTTATATTATGACAGCTTTTAAAGCATTATTAAATATCTCTTGTTCTTGGGAATAAATACAGAAGTAGATAAAGTTAGGGACATGCACAACATATATGCAAACAAGGCAGCAGTCCACAGATAGATCAGTTTAAGGGACACATGGTCATGCCTTGTATTCATTAAAAGGACTTTGTTGTGTGTGCAATAGTCTTTACAGCTATAGATTTGTTTTACCAAATTACAGTAGCAATTGTTTTAGGCAACTCATAATCATTAATTGTTAAGTATTTTGTTTTTAACTGCATGAAGCTTCTGTGGATACTGAAATATTAATTTTTACAAAATAACGTGGTCTGATTTCATAGTGGATGCTGATTTGATCAGGAGTTTGGACTAGATGACTTCCTGGGATTCCTTCCAACATGTTTTTTTTTTCTACAAATCTAAGCAGTTTACTACTTTATAAATTTTTTTATTGTCATTTTAGTGAGTGTACTATCTAGCCATTTAAATGCAATGTAATTTTTTAGCCTTCACAATTTTAATGTCATTTCTTCATTCTTGCTATTGGTCCTTTTCTCCTGGCTTTCTGCCTACAGGCTGTTTCTTCTCTGTCTTAGTAAGTACTTTCTCTACCTTATTTTGCCTCTTAAAAAATAAAAAAACATAACAAAAACTTTGCATGATACACATGCTGTGAAACAACTTCAAATTAGCTTTAATATTCCCTATAATTTGGTTGCTTTATTTAGGTAACAAAAGCTGCAGTGGATCTATACAGAGCTTATCTTCAACAGATACCAAAGATACACCAAAGGCTCCAACAAACCCTGATTTGCCTCCCAAAATGTGCAGGAGATTAAGATTAGATACGGCGTCAAGTAATGGCTATCAAAGACCAGGATCTGTGTAAGTCATCAACACCCTTGGGAGCTTGATGTTGTTACAGTATTACCTACTATGAAGTGATCTCAGAGAGATGCCATAAGTAGTTAAAAAAGCATCCATGAATAGTTGTTTGAATATTTTTGTATTTCTTTATTATTTATCTAGCTTCATTAAAATTGTAAGCAAAGCTGACACAGTACAAAGTCTGTTGAAGTCTGTTTGAAGACTCCCATTGACTTCATTAGATCACAGATAAGGTCTATAATGAAGAAATCTATGTTTGAAAAGTGATTAGTATTATTGTCTCTGGTTCTTCTGGAATTCAGTGTTTCAAGGAGCATAAATGCTACTTAGTGTCCATGCTGTTATGTTAGAAGATCATCAGATCTTATTTGTGTAAATTGGAGAAAGAAAAAAAACCTAAACTTCTGCTCTTGAAATTTCCTCAGTTGCTGCATGTTAAATAGTTGATACCTTTGGTTTTTTTCCTAACAGTTGTGTTTTCTGAGGGGTTATGTTCAAAGGATGGTAGTTCTAATCAATAGAGATTATAATTTAGCTCGGTGACATTTGGGTTAGCAGGGTTCTTCAGTGCTTTTAGCACAAAATTAAGAGTCAGAAGATCTTTGCTGTAACCTTGACTTTGACATGGAATTTCTCTGTCCCCATGAACAAGCGATTTCCAGATCTGCAGAGCACCAAGAAGTTCTCCAAATACTGTAGGATCCATTCAGCCTCTCTGCTTTTTAAACTGGAAGGGGTCATTGTAGTCATGGAGGTCCACAAGGCCAAGTG